ATTTAATATCTGCTCTTATCTGATAATTCAAGCCATGTTTGCCAGCTGCCTTTGTTATGTGCTGAATGGCCCCCTGTTCCATCACTAGTTTGAGGTATAGACCTGATTTTAATCCTTTCAGTTTAATCTCTTTGTCAGTACAACCAGCAGTGTCCCCTCTGATCCCTTCACACCCGGCAGTCCCATTTAGCTGACCGTGTTAACCACAGCTCTGGCTCTGCCCACCCCTCACCTCCCTGTGCTGGGGAGGATTGTAACGCTGGTTTGGAGTCTCCCTGCCCTCATCTCTCCTCCTTTAATGTTCTGCTTTCCATGGTTCACCTCACATCAACTCATTTCTGCCTTTCCGCGTGTATAATCCAATTAAAATGAGGTTTGTCTGGGTTTTGACCTTTCTGTATTTCCCTTATGATTGGTTCCCTGTCCTTCCCCGTCCCTCGCTGACAGCTTCACTTTGCACAGGGAGAAAGTTTGGAGCTGACTGACAGGCAATCAGAACACAAAACACTGAATGGCCAAGCAGGTAAAGCACTCTTTAGCACTTCAGCTTCCCAGAGTGTTACACCCCAGATGAATCACAAGGGGGGTCAGGAAGGGCAGGGAGCAGGTTGCAGCCTCAAGTGACTGATACCTTCAGGTGCTGCAGGTGTCTTCTCTGAAGCACATACTACAGCCACTGGCAGCTTTCTGCGTGGCTCTGCTTTGTCTTGTCAGAGTTTTCAGCTTAGTTCAGAGCGATCCTCAGATCTTTGGGCTCACTTTTCTAAATTTACTTTAAGTTTGTTGTTCAGCTGGAAACCAAAGGTCCAAAGCTTTTGGGAAGCCTGTTTACTTTAAGAGTATCAGTGGTACCTTTTACTGTTAGTTCTATTATTGTCATTTTTCTTGTCACTCTATTTATCTAATCAGATAGCAATTAATCTTAGAAGCACTTTTTCTGAACCTATGAGTCTGTTCTCCAATATCTTTCAAATATTACTGCCAGCATTCCTGTTAATTGGACTGCAAGTCAAAATACTCCTCTAAGAGAGAAGCAAGCACCAAATTAATGAATACAAAGAAGGTCTCAAAGATGGTCTTCGAGTTCATAAAATTAACTACAGGTGTAGTTAATTTTGATGATTTGAGTGTACTCATCTAATACAATTTATGTAAGACGAGAAACGAGTGTGATGGGACAACAGGAATTCAGAACTCATGTTATGAAAATATTTTATTGCAAAGAAAGAAAATGCTTTTTGAGAATTAGTTGTGACAGGAATACAGGCAGTATAAACCAGAGGCAGTGCCCATACATTAGAGCTGGGGGGCTCTGTTTTTACTGCAGATCATAGAGAGTTGGTACAGACTCCACAGTTAGATTTTATTTGCCTTTACTAGATTCTCTTTGAACTGATCAATCACATATTTACTATACCTAGTCAATAACTACTGTTTTATTCTAATGTGTACCACAACATTAAAGTGCAGGTGGAGTACCATCATAGCTGATTCCATGGGAAAAGTAAGGAAGAATTTAAAGATTTAGTTTCACACCGGACTAGAGCTTTAATTACTAAAAATTTCTATCCTCAGAATTGTGGTCATTCCTTTAAAAGAATGAACTCTCCTCTGTAGGTCACATTGTGTATATTCTTCAAACTGCTGTATCTAGGAAAGATGTGACCAAATCATCTCATTTAAAAAAAAAAAAAAAAATTATTGATGCTTTTATTTAAACTTTTATAGTGTGAGAATCATGAAACTCCAAATCTTCTTTACTTTAATGTGGTACTTATCCAGCTCTGACACTGTGCTGTAAGGTGCAGGATAAAGGCCTGGTCCCTTGGTGTATAGATTTAATCTTTATTAGTATTTCTTTCAGTTAAATAATAATACTTGAACAGGCCAAGCAGGATCATGTGGCTTAAGTGTAAATCTTGTACACCTGAAAGTCCCTGGATTTCTATCAATACTTTAGTGGTAAGGCTAATCTTTTAAAGGTTATTTGACCACTTTAAGGAAAATTCTGCATTTCTATTTCTTTTATTTCTATTACTTTTTGTTGCGATATTTTACTTCATATGTGTGCACAAAGTCTTCATTTCTGTGCTTTTTGCCACTGTAGTAAGAGGGGGGAGGGTTCACTGTGTTCCCACGGGTGTGGCATGTGAAAGTGTTTGTTTGCAAGTGTTAATGTCACCAGAGGGAATCCCCTTCCTTTGAGTACATGAGAAAAACGGTGATAATCATCCCAATAATAGAACATCTGGATATTGAATGGGTATGACACTAATAAAGGAGCTACTTGCAGTGAGTGGAGAACTACAATTTAATCTGGTGATGTTACAGAGTGGAACCATTTCATCACAGCATATGTTGATGGGGCAGATGCAGCTTCTGTGGTGCACTGCAGAAGCAGAAAGCTTTTCATTAACTTTCCCCTCTGTTGCTGGTACTCCATTAAATTAGGCTGTCTGCTCTGAGTCCTTTGGCACCACTGGAACTTCCATTCAGTCAGCTGAGATATGGAACAAATGTCTTGGCTATAAAGCCCAGTATAAAATTAGGATAGATCTGGATTCAGATACTCACACAGCGGTGGCTGCAGGAAAGAGTTTCATTCTGAAAGGTGTTCCTGTTGGTGCACAGACCAGCACTGTCTCTTATAATCAAAACCGAACCCATTGACAAGAAGAATCACCCAAACAACAAGAAAAGTACAATTTCCTTAGAAATAGAGATAACATTTTCCAAGTTCCTAATATAATCTCGTTTAACCTGGATATCTAGTCATGGACTCGGTATTACATTGTGTCATAACACTGGCATCACTTGCATTTGGATTATATTTATGTTTTAATTACAGATTTCCCCCAAGATAAATTTGCAGTAGGCTATGGAAGAGATCTAATGAATTTCCTCATATCAGATTCTGTCTAGTAGCTCTATGAGTATATTATATTTAACTTCAACTTGTGTTTAACCCCTTGGCCACTGTGTTCTCAGAACTGCTTCTTGTCAGTCCTGTGCCATGTTAAGATCACAGATGCTGCTCTGATCCTGCTGTAAAGGCTCAGAGCATTTCTTGTACCCTCTCTTTTCTATGAGGGCCACATACAGTGGTCAACAGTTCTCTTACTCCTTATGTGTCATGGGAAACACAACCATATCAATGAAACTTTTATTTTATTTTGCAGATTTTTACTAGTCCTCTGTAGTTTTCAAGAAATACAGAATAAATATAGTCCTTGGTAGTTCCCACTGACCCTGGTCCTGTCACTGTTCAGGTCAGAGATCTATCACAGACCATACTGTGGCTTCTTCTAGCACTCAAAGTCATACTTCCTTTCGATGGAAAACAGGGTGCACAGTAATTGGGTTGATATATATCTGCGTTTTGCCACAACATAGAAGTGAGGTCTGGGAAAAGCAAGCTTTAATATCCAGGAAATACATCTAAGTCCTTCAGTTTAAAATTCAATTTTTGAACCCAGAATCCCTGTGAAAAGTAAGGCATGTGATCTGTAGCAAGAATGAAACAAAGCATCCCATACTTCTCTGCAGACTAGAATTGTATTTTTTTCAGTCTGAGACTGTCTTTAGCCTTCCTGCAAAAGATCACAGCAGAAGGAGTGGCCAGCCTTGAGGGCCACCCCCATCAACACCAAATTGCATCTCTCTATGGAAAGCTTTGGCTTTCCAGGTAGGCTGGAAAGAGAACAGAATAATGGCAAAGCATCCACTCTTTGGAGAATTGTCTCATGTCTGGATCCAGCCCAAAAAGGCTGAATTCTTTGTGCAAAACATTCCAGCCATATGAAGTTTCCAGCTATGAATCGTTTTGTCTTAAATAGTAGTTTTTTTAACAATCAAAGTAGTTAATTATAGTTAATAGTATCTTAATTATAGTCTCTGTCCATAAGATGTACAGTGTACATGTACACTGTACCTTACTATTTGAATTTAAACACACACTTCTCAAAGCTTCAAAATTTAGAGGTAAGAGCCTCTAAAACAAATCAACACTTCCTCTTACTATATTTTCTCAAAGTATTTCTTCTGCTTGAAGTGAGCAGAAGTTACTAGCTAAAATAACTGTTAAATGCAGTTATTTTATACACTGGTCACTGTTGCCTTCCTTCTGCTCCTTCACTTAACACAATCATTAGGTTGCTTTGGTGTGTTTGCTTTTTTAATCTGGTTTTCCCAGCCATTTCCCTGTAGGCCTAGAGGGGGAGCAGGGATATACCTGCTGCCCTGTGCTAACGTGACTTTCTTACACATGACTGAAGTTAACTCAGCATGTTTCATATAAAACTGTTTTACGTAAAAAGTTTGCATGTGAATGTTTCTCACAAGAGGTTAAGAGTCCAGCAGGATCCAACTGTAACCTGTTCTTCTCCTGGTGATATCTCTTCTGTGAACCAGATTGTTTCCCTCTTAGCAGGTTGGAATTACCCTTTGAATAACTTATACCTACTCTAATACTCCTGCATGGTATAATAAATGTATATGGTGCCCTCTGGGTGTCACAGCGGGATTGTTAAGCATATGCCAAGGACATTTCTGCTCATTTGTCAGTTTGGAGACAAATAAAAAGTAAAGCTGGCCTTAAGGCAGCACATAAAATATTACAGATTACTGATTTCTCAAGTGACAGTAACTAATGACAGGGAACAAACGCTCTCCTTCCAAGCCAGCCACTCTTCCCCCGTGTAAAGGCATCGTCAGAGACCTGCCTAGCAAAGCAGCTCTCGGTGTGGCACAGCAATCAGTGTGGCTGGGCTCTGTGCTGCAGCACCTGCTCTGCACTGCTGATTCCCAAGGACCTCTGCACACCAGGATTCTCAGGGATCTCTGGGAGACTCAGGAATTCTCAGCAGCTGCCCAGGATCAACTGCCAGGAGATTAGCAGGGGACTTTGGAAATTTAGTTCAGCAGCAGTGAAGCAGTTGAGCTGTGCTAGAACTTGACAGGCTTTAAAGAAAAAGTTAATTTTTATTTTCTTTTACCCACAGGTCTACCCACGGATAGCGCCGGCATTTTGGCACTACCTGCGGGTAGAAGTGAGTAGCGGGTATTTGAATACTCCCACGTCTTTACTTTATAGCTTAGCAGTATTTCCTGGCCTCCTAGCTTGTCCATTGTGCAGAAATAACGAGCTGCCATTCTGGTTGCCATTTTTTCTGTGAATGTAGTCTTGTACTAATTCCATATTGGTTTGACTATGGTGTGATTACTAACCCAAGTCACAGAGACATGTCAATATGCAAGATTAAAGAAAAAAAGATGGAATCTGAAAGTCAAGGCCATATCATATATGTCAGACTATAGCACAGAGTCAAAGTATGAAAATCCATACCTGCGCCTCCTTTTATAGCCACATTTTACATTCACGAGAAGAATGCGGAGCTTCAGTTCTGTTACAGCATTTTTGCAAAGTTTGTTGGACTCAACTTGCTGTCATTTCTTCCCTCTTTTGTCCCTCAGGAGCATGAGCAGCTCAGCTATTCCTCCACACGGTCCAAGGCTCCGAGTGTTATCATCACAGGTCTCAAGCCAGCCACCAAGTACCTCTTCCACATCAGAGTCAGGACGGCAGCGGGATACAGCGCCTATAGCCAGAAGTTTGAATTTGAGACTGGAGACGAAAGTAAGTTCCACTGAAGGGAAAAAAAGTTAAATAGATAGAGGCTAGCATCTAACTCTAAAGCAGTGAGACACTGGGAGTTTGAACAGCTGAACCCACACCATTTGTTTATCACAAAACGCTTCTGTGTGACAAAACGCCGTAGGCCTCAGGCTGGCGGTGCCGGAGTTATGAGGGAAAACAGGCGCCTTAGCCCAGCGCTGCAGCTGGAGGAGCGTTCTCCCTAAAATCTCCTTCTGGGTCCCCTCCAACCTGAGGTATTCTAGGGTTCTGTGATCATTTCTCTCCTTGGAGAGGGTCTTCCCTTTGACATCTAGAAACACCCTTAGCCATGCTGTCCTAGGTCCAGCAGCCTCATGAGGGCTCCCACAACAGTGATGGGCTCTCCCCCCGGCAGTTCTTAGTGCCCTCAGACTCTACAAATTAGAAAAACCAAAATTTTTATATGCATGCCCATCAACCAGTGATTTGCCAGTAAGAAGCAGGAAACCTACACATTCCTTCAGAATGTGCAAAAAGGTGCGATGTTCATGCTCTGAGAGTAAAACCCCATTTGTCCTAGGGCAAATATGCTTTTATCTGTAACTGTAGCCCTCTCTGTTTGTTTTTTTTTTCTCTCTCTCTTCTAACTTGCTCTTTGTGGAAGAAGTTTGTTTGTTTGTTTGTTTTTGTTGGATTTTTTTTTAATTAATGGTTCAAAGCTTTTTCATTTTTTTTTTCCTAGAGAGGTTTTTGCTGTATTACCTCAGTGCCTAGAGGAATTTGTAAAATATTGAACAATTTCCAGCTGTTAGGCAGTGCAGTGTTTTCATGCTGTAGCTCTCCTGTGCAGGGCTCTTCCTAAAACCGAGGGTATTTTCCATGTCAGCCTTTCCATCACCGGGAGAAAATAACCTGAAAGCAAAATGGTTGGCTTGTTCCAGAAGGGACTTAAGGCACAAAATTGCATTTATGCAATGTGGACTAGTGCTTGGGCTGAACAGAGTGATAAATGGAAGCACATGATGATATTTAATCCAAAAGCAATATAGACTTTCATATGCTTTAAATCAGTCATATTAACAATTAAAAAATAAACATTTCAGAAATGTTGTGAGAATACCTGATTAGGTGTTTTTTAAATTTGAAGACTAGGAAAAAATAATTGGCCTGAAACCCTGATCTTGAGGAAACTTTACCTTCCTTACCGTAAGCACAGATAGTGACTTTCTTTTATTTCTGGATTCCCACATTCTTTCCCCTCTTCCCACATCCAAAAAAATGTACCTTTAACTTTTCAAGCTCAAAACACACTGTTTTGGGTTTGCCATTGGATTTGACTGATACCCTTCAGCTCCATTCTTTCCAAAACTCCAAAGATCAAGAGAAGGGTCCCAAATCACTGATTCCAGTAGAGGCCCGATACTGGTTTAAGCACATGCTTTCATTCATGTCATGACCTCACTAGGATTTTTAGAAATACATTGAATTACCAAAGAAAAATGGAGATTATGCTTTTGCTTTTTAGAATGATTGATGTTTTGACAACAGTAAGTTGAATTTCTTATTGAAACAAACAAATCAGATGGCACATATGTCATGTTTAGAAACTGTCTTGTTGGATCTCTTCCCATGTCTGCTTAGTCCTACTGTTCAATCTCCATCAGCACTGGATACCAAAGAATGTCTCATTTTAGTCTTGAACTATTTCCTTACTGTGTTTTATATTTTCAGTTATTCTTCACATTTGGGTTTGGTCTATCTGACTGCTCTGCTGTATCCAGAAGCCCCAGAGACCTCACTTTTCCTGTGCATTTCCTAAACAAGAGAGACATCCTTGTTCAAATCTCGAACTGCTTGCACAGGCTCTCCACTGATCCCCCGCTCAGGAAGTGAACATTAAGGCAAACACTTGAAAAAAGGCTTTTCAAGTGAACACATAACAAAAAGTTTTACATCCTTATGTTAGTGACAGCACTATCTTTTCATCCTAAACATCCTTTTTAAGATCCCCTTTCCTTTGCCTTCTCCCTTTCCCACATTCCCCCTTTGACTGGAGCCCATCAGCTCGTTGTAAATGTAAAGGTTATCCTAATGAGACTGTGTTTTACTTATCTGTTGTTGTTAGCACTGTTGTGTACAAAGCCTTGTAAAGCCATCTGACAGCCAGTTCCTGTCTGTTAGAGCTGCAGTTCTCACTGTCCACGCTTATCTATCCTACAGCTGCTCACTATTATCTGTCTAGCTGTCTCTCTTGTCACTGTTTTATCTTGAAGTCTGCTGGAAGGTCTGCTGCCTGATAGATGTCAAGCTGAAATAACTAAAGGATGTAGCTGAGAGACAGGAGGGAGCTGTCGTGAGGGCTTCCAGCTCTTTTACACCAAACACTCAAACTTTTAAAATACTGTGGAGAAATCTGCTCAAAGAGAAGGAAGAGCAGAGCTGAAAGATTCTCTCTCGTGCTGTGACTAAAACGTCTGCCCCATTTCTTCCAGTCTGCCCAGTGAGGAAATGAAGAAGCTTTAGGGTATTTCCTTTCAGCCCCGTGAGGAGGGAACGTGAGTGAGGAGCTGAGACAGGGTGTGGATGTGAAGAGCAGCTTGTAGGGGTAGGACTGACACCAGGCTGGATGCAGGAGGGGTATCTGGGCATGGAGCCCAGCAAGGAAGCTGGAACCACGCAATTAGACACTTTGAGTGTCATTCCAGGCATATAACCTGAGCTGAGCATGAGGAGTAAGGGGAGTGAGGAGTTATCTGGATAATAATGTATTATATACATGCTGCAGTCTTACAATGAAGTCATCACTTTGACCAATCACATTAGTTGTAGGTACAATGTGTTTGAAGAGTTTTGACACTCAGACATTACAGAATACTACTGAATCATCTGCTGGGATAAGTTTCAAATTCTCCCTTTTCCTTGTCTTAGGCTACTCATTTTTTCAAGTATGTTTTCTGTCAAAAGGAACTTACTGGCTTATGTATTCCTGTTGCACCAGTGCTTTCTCCCCCTTGCCTATCCATTCAGCAGATGGGTTATGGCCCCACACGTGGTACAGCCACATTGACACCTGTGCTCACAGAGCCATCATCACCCAGCACTGCATGGATTTGGGGGGGGCACACTTGGCAGGTACGAGACTGTGCACTGGACAGCATAGAGGCAACCAAGGATTGATTTTAGCTCTATGAATGCTGACAGTGTTGTCTAAAAATGAGATTTTGGGGGAAAAATGCTGTGTGCTTCTGTGATTAAATGCAGTAGACTAATATGTATACACAAAGAGATGAAATAAGGTTGCAGGAACTTGCTTGACTTTGCAGCTTACCATAACTGGTTTTTAAACTGAGTTTTTCTGTCTTGAATAATCAAAATAGTTCTGGGGAGAAACACAGGGTCATATACCAATATGCACAGGAAAAAATAAGGAAGAAAAAGCAGGAAATTACAAAAAAGATTCAAGAACATGCAGAACAGAAGCAAATAAAGCCCTTAGTATTTACAAGTTGAACTTTACCTTAAGAGAAGGCTGGAGAAATGAGAAAAGAGCAGAGAGATTGAGAGACACATTGGATTTAATCTAGAATGGCAAAATGCTGTAAGAAAGAAAAAGTGTTGAGTGTCCCTGATTGCTGTCTTCTCACTGTCTAAATTGTGTTTTGTGGAACCTTTTACCTACCTGTGATAAGTCTGTGTGTGTGCATGCACATGTGCTTATATTGGGATGTTCACTGCACTAGGCCTTTATTGATTTTATTGAAGGATCACTTCAGGCAAAAATAAGTATTTCCATCATTTTACCTTACCTACCTCTCTGTCAGTTTTTAAGAAATCCCCATTTTCCAATTATACTTGTCTGTCATTTGACTGTTTTATCTGACAAGTAAATTAAGGTCATCTGGAAGTTTCAGGCTCGAAAGCTCCTTGTAGTGATTTGGCTACTTGAAAAAAAGAAATCCTAATGTATTGGACTCTGCCATCTCTGCCAACACAGTAAAATATAAACAAGAGAACCAGAATGGTCACTTTTTAAGTACACAGAGTCTCAGCTAAACATCATCCTGCTTAGACGTGGGAAGAACTTTAGTCAGGCTAGAATTTCTCCCCTTCGTTCCTGTGTCTTTGGTTCCTGACAGAAAATATATGTTATTAAATGGATAGACTGGATTCTGTTTTAGCTAGAACTCCAGGAAATAGCATCCCCATCCAGCAGAAACGATCCAGGACACTCGGCTTTGCCCATCTCCAGAGCTGCAGGGTGGGTCTTTGGATTATAGAGTCAGTCCCAACGTTTGCACCAACAAAGGTCCTGGCTCGTTGCCTTGGCAGTGAATGTCTGTTGAAGGAAACCACAGCTAATTTATCTGAGTTTGTGGTTTGCTTTTCCCCTGCTGAATTCACTGTTTTTTCCCCCATCTTTCTCCTACTAAAAACAAAAAAAAAAAAGGAGAGCTGCAGTTTGTTCCCTCCCTTCCATTGCAGAGATGGGCAAGGAAGACTCCTCTGAAACCTCCTCCACTTACAACTTCCAGCCATGCCTGGCTGTAACAATCTTTGCAACATTTAGCACAACTCCCACTAGTCTGAAACTACAATTCAGCCTTTTATTTGGACAGCCCGTTATTATTTGCCTTGTTACTCGTGTGGCACGATATTTGTTATGTTGTATTTTTCCAGCTAAATCTGACCCTGTGGAACGTTGTACAGCACAGAGCTAGAATTCATCCTCTCCCACAACATCACTAGATATCATTTTGCAGATTAGCTATTCAGGGAGTATCTGCTACATCATTTATTGGAAAATGTGTATATTTAACTTGTCTGCAGAAAGCTTATGACCACAGACACTGAGAGCCTTGTAATTTACTGCCTGTGCACGATTCCCTAAAATTATATGCACAGAAACCCAATGGCAGGAAATTTAACAAGTTGCTTTTTCGCTGAAAATCTGACATAAATAAACTCCCATTGTTTTTATTTGCTTTAGTACTATTACAAAGCCAGTTTACACTGCTAGTGTCTAAACCCACACAAATATTATTTAGAAGCCAAGTGTTTTTCTTGGAAACAGCATTTTATGGGGCTTTGGACAGCAATGTGTGCATGGTATTGGGCTTCATCAGCTGCAAAGTGAGAGAATTTTGCCTGCTGGGATTTCTAGGCAGCAGCCTGGGTGATTTCCCTGAGCTTTAATCAGCTGGTGCCAAAAGACAGCTGAAGATTTTGCTTATTGAACAGTCTACCAGTTTAAAATATCAAAGTTACTTTCCTGACAGATGTAAAAATTGTTTTCTTTTCTTTTTTACTACTCTTGTCAGAGGTCATTGAATAGAATCATTTGTTCTTCTTTCAAAACAATGTTTTATTTCCCATGGAAATAGAAAGTAAGAACTGGGTAAATGTCATGTGGTGCAAATGTCCAAGTGTAACTGAGTTTAACAGATAAAACTTTGAAGTCACAAGGCAGGAGACAGATCAAAAAACAAGCTTAATTCTTTTTCTGCTCATGTAGCACTTGGACAGTGAGGACCAATCTCAGTGTAAGTAGGTGCTTTGTCAGTGTAAAAATTTAACACTACACACAATAAATTAATAAAAAGAGCAAGTGTCTGGAGAACAGATGATTTCAGGTGATCTTTTATAACTCCTAAACATCCTACAAAAAGCAGAGAAAAACATGAGACATAGGAAAATGAATTTTATTTGTTTTTAGCTACAGTGTTGACAATCCTCAAAAGCATATTATGGTAAAACTCTGTGTATTTGGTGTCAGTAAAAATAAACACCAGACATGCTGAAGAGTGTGTGAAGATCCACATTTCTCTTTTTCTGCTTTGCCTCCTCCTGAAGCTGGTTTAGTATCTCTTACACACACAGCACTGCTGGTGACTCCATGGGCCAGGTGGATGGAGAGAAGTTCTGAATTAGGTTCAGGATTAAGATAAATAAAGCTAAAGACGAAAATCCTGTCATGTTCAAACTTAAGTGAACCACAAGTTTCTGATAATGCCAGCTGCTCATTTTAGAAACCTGTAAGCCCTTCTCCCCTACCTCCTGCCTGGGACATGGGTTATGGTTTCTGCCCTCCCAGGCACATTCCCATCTGATGGGGGAAACTCTTACTAACCATCTGCAGCCTCTGACCACTGCAACGTTTTCAGCCCTCCTTCAAAAGCATTGACCTCTTTTCTTTGTGCCTCTCTTCCAGCCTCTGACATGGCTGCGGAGCAGGGACAGATCCTGGTCATCGCCACTGCTGCTGTCGGTGGATTCACCCTCCTGGTCATCCTCACTCTCTTCTTCCTCATCACTGGCAGGTAATTAAAGCTACAGCGCTCTTGTTTAGGCAGGTTGGAACCATCTGAAACTAAGAATGTAACAGTTAAATCAGTAAAGCACTTTGTCAGTGCTGAAATAAAGGTTAAACATAGAGGCGTGAATGCCTTCTTTGGGTTTGGGGAGATAAGCAAGTATGTGAGATCAGGAAATAGCTTGGATATTTTAAAAATAACTTTCTGGACCTCTTGCTTGCAGAGTGAACATTTAAAAGTACGTTGTACCTGCTGCACCCTCCAGGCTCTGACATAACAAGAAAAAAAAAAAGAAAAGATCCCCACAGTATATTTTACAAACTCTCATAAAGGTAAATTGCAAGGCTTTGGAGGGTGCAGCCCTAGGGTTTTTGATGTCTTGGGGTTGGCAATGCAGCTTGCTAAATGCACTTGAACGGACCATTTTTTATTACTTTCACTACATTAAACTTGTAGGAAAAGTCATACAAAATTATGCACCTATTTTATATGCACATTTCTGCATCTGTTAAGATAAAAGCAGGAATTATGATTATGTAATTCCTACTTTTATCTTAACAGATGCAGAAATTAAACTAAGGAAAACTATACTCTGAAACACTGGAATGATTCTATTGCTTGCTATCTCTGGCAAACAGAAAATAGTTTTGAAAGGTCTTGTCTTGTTTTATTGCTTTCTGGTTTGTTTGGGTTTTTTTAAGATTGAAGATATCCCAGTTAAATCTGTATTGCAGCAGTACTGCTGCTCTGGCAGGGGAATTCACCAGTCTGGACAATTTGGGTTTTTTATAACGAGCCAATTCTCACAGTTCCTTCAGTGCAGTGCTCTTTGTCCACCTTTCTTCAGTCGATGTTGATTAGGATCAAATAATGACGTTGTGCAAACGGGATGAGGAGGCATTTTGGGTTGAGTGGCCAGATGCCACGCTGAATTGCACAGTGAAGGTCTTAAGGGAATTCACAAATTCTAACTGGACATGCTAAAAAAGACATGTGTAGGTAGGAACAGCAGTCCTTGCTGGAGCTCAGATTCCCACAGGCACAGCTCCTTCCAGGGTGCCTTTTTCCCTTTTTCCCTGAGCCTTGGGTGTTTCCTGCCTGATTTCAGGACCTCACCTGCTTCCACCTGGAAGCAAAGCAAAATTTAAAAGGACAAGGACACTGTGGTCCCATCTCCTGCGTGAGACCTTGGCGTTTGTGTGGGCTCTGGCCCCTCTCTATCCTTTTCCCCTTTCCCTCCTTCAGGCACACACACAAAGATGCTGGAAGAGCCTCCATGTGAGCAGGATTTTCCATGGAGTTTCCTTCTTTCCTGGCCTGGGGACAGAAAAAATCCAGAGTTAGGACAGGATTCTGCACTCCTGCTGTCCTGGTTTAGGACCTGTGTTTACCCTGCAGGAAATGATGTTAAACTCACCCCTTCTGAATGTGATGGTGGTCACCAGAGACAGGGCTGATACTCAGTGGGCTGTGGGGCACTTTTGGATTTGTAGTTATGTGTCTGTTTTGCTGGTATAGCATTACCTCTCACTTGAAAAGGGAGTGGAGTTCTATCAGTGTAAGCCAGAGGTTTTATTTGCAGTACCTCCACAAGTAGATATGGCACTACAGTAGCTGCCATTCTGTGAATTAATGTTCTTTCTGCTCGATAATCCAACCAGTTAAGTTCTAACTCTCTGCTGAACTTGATGAGAGCAGGAACATATTGTGACCTTAAATGATCTTAGAAGCTAAGTAAACATTCCTGCCATTGTTACAGGAGCTGATAAACAGTAGGGTCTTCCAGAAGAGAGAGGAATTATTTAGACAAACTTCCTGAGCAAATGATTGTGTGGAATCCTTATGTGAAATCCTGAAGCATACCTCAAACGCTTCCTGTAGGAAAAACTCACTAAACTCAGGAATGAAAAAAAAATATATGGAAATGGGTTTCTTTCTGTTTATTCCTCCTGTTTGCTGGCACTGAGGATATCAGAGATACTCTCAGCTTTCTAATGCCTTACTCAATGGGACCATTTCAATTATGTAAGGTACGAATTCATTTTGAAGTGCTGCTTAAATGCAGTGATAAGAGCGTGTTCCACAGAAGACAGAGCAAGAAAATTTTGAATAAATACTCAATTTGCTCTAGGACTGGAGGCAAATTTCAGCATGAAAAATGTGACTGGTACCCTACAGATGTGCTCTGCTGCAGTGTTTAGAATTACCAATTTGATGAGCTGCCGAGTCTCAGGGCTGCTGATGAGTCTATTCAGAGTGGAGAGGCTGGGTTAAATGAGCACCTGGCCCTGCACTTTGCTGAGTGATTATCCCACCAAGAGCCAGCAGGAAGCACCACTGCCAGTTCTAGATAGACAAATGGAAGCAGCAGAGACTTGGAGACACGGGGCAGGGGGACTTGGCTTGATTCCAGGAGATGTGGTGTTAAAGCTCAGTGTGATTTAGCCTTATCCTTCCAGAAATTATTGCTCTCGGATTGTTCTGTAGCCAACAGGAACAGAAAATGAGGATGAGGAGGCTCCTCTGCTGGTGATTAATCACTGGCCTCTGTCACACTCTGGGGCCACCTGCATTCTTGGGAGGATTGGACAGGGTTAAAGTCTTGTCTGTTTGACTTCCCTTGGGCAGACACCTGAAGCACAAGCACTTGTATTTAGTGTTCCTGGCACTTGGCACCCTACAGAGCAGTTGGTCAGGTCCTGGAAATGACTCTGTCATCCTCAGAGGTCACAGAGATTGGTTTACAATCTCGAGGTTTGCACAGAATCTGAGAATCCACTGGTTTGCACTTCCCTCCATGAGGGAGCAGAATTTCCTGCCCATTCACTGTGTAGCAGGGAATGAATTTGTGAGTGTTCCTGCTGTGTTTCAGCAGCTTAAAGTAGCCATTGAAAGGTGGGTCTGTTCATCTCTCTCTCATATCTACGTTGTTAGCATGGATGTACTGCCTTTAATGAATGTTTATTTGATTTTATAAGGCTGTAATGTGCATACAGAGGACAGCCATTCCTTTCCAAGCTGGTTTTGGAACTGCATGTCTGTAGTTCATGTCTCCAACATGTGCACGGGCACTGCTGTTCTGCACTGGGTTCAGTGCCTCAACAGCCCTCAGACCAAAAGATTCCCCTCTAGATAATAATCCTTGGGCTGTTCAGTGAGTGAGAGCGAGCTGTAAGACCCAGCTCCAGTATTTGGCTTTTTTCCTGGCTGAGGCAGTTGCTCCTGCCCTGTGACCCTCTAAATCATCATTAACAGGCAGGCAGCGTTCGGGCTGGGGGAGATTCCATTCCCAAGAACCCAAACACCTGCCGTGTGGCAGTTTGCTCCAGCATTCACCCTTGCACTGTCAGACGTGGTTGCTGACAATTCACGAGCATCCACAGAGTTTTGGGTTGTTTGCCAAGGATTTGTAATTCTATAGCGATCATAGAGGCATATGCTGAAACCTCGTGGTCACATAGCAGGCTATGTGTTGTTTGTCCTGGGTGATATTTGCTGCCTTAGGAGAAATAATAAATCAGTGCCTGGCTCAGACTGCACAGAGCCACTCAGCAAAAAAAGAAAGAAAAAAAGTGATCCTGATGTGAAAAAAATATTTCCTTTTTTCATGAAATGTGGTGAAGTCATTATTACTCAATTAAGAAGAAAATGTGAGCTTTGCTGACCCACTGCATATGGAAGTTAATAGGATAAGGTTTAATCACCACAAACTTAGGTATGCAAACAGGAATGCAGGGAAGTGATAATTTATCAAAGTATCAGAATTCTTTGAAGGAGTCAAACTTGAAAATAAAGTTTTGAATGAAATTTAAATTCAAGTAGTCACTTTCATGCTAATAATTCAACTATGATCTATTTTTCTTTGTAGGTAATCTATTTGTAGTCCTTCACATTTCCCTCTTTAGATTCATAGCTAAATATGTATTCCAAATGCAACAGTTCTGGCTTTCATAAAAGGGCAGATAAAACTTAATGTACATTTATTTTACCCGTGGCAAGTATTTTATTTAAAACCTCATTTGTTTTTCTTGAAAGATGCCAGTGGTACATAAAGGCCAAAATGAAGTCTGAGGAGAAAAGAAGGGCTCATCTGCAAAATGGACACTGTGAGTAGTTCAACGCTGTGTTACATGATATCTACATCATGTTTTAAATGAAGAGTGTTCATTGTTTCCTGGACAGCTTTTTCCCCTGATGTTTTAATCTGCTCATTTGGGTAGTTCCTTATTGTCTGCATCATCAAAGGTGGAGTGGTTTATGTCCTCTTGAACAATTTCATTCCACTCACTCTAGTTATTAAGGGTGTTTTTGGCATTCAATTATTAATATGTAATCAGAGCTCTCAGTTGTTCTAGACATTAAATTTCTGCCTCAGAGTCCCTCTCTTGGTGACTTATTTGTGTCTAGTTCTCCTTGGATTTAGGGATCTACACTGCCAGCCACCCAAGAAATAAGAAGTGGAATGGGTTATCTTCCCTCATGTTCCTGCTCACTGACCAGTACAGTGAGAGAAAATCCTGCCAATCTCTCATGGGCAGTACATTGGTTTATATAGTTTAGTTCAGCTACCTAGTTTAAATTACTTGCCTTACTGTTTGGTTGTGGTTGGGTTTTTTTATTCCAAGGGTTTTATACAAAGGGTAATAAATTTTATTTTTTCATCATTTTGATAACACCCCTGGAAACACCTTGATGAACACACAAGCTGAGTCACCAGAAGTAAAATCTTTTTGCAGGTGACACCACTATATCCAGCCAAGTGCCTTTTTGTGTCAAGGAAAAGGGCACATTTCCCCACAACGGATCCTTCCCAGGAATATTTGTTTGTCATTTGTTCCCAGGCACGGTCAGAAATGAAAGAGGACAAAAGCCTTCCAGCAGGAGGGTTTGATTTATGCCTCTGAGTCTGTCACTGAATTGAAAGGGAAGCCTCACTCAGTGTCTTCCAGGCCAGGGTAAATGGTAACTGTATTTCATGTTGACACGAAGCTTCATCTCAGAGGCTTCTCATTCATCTGCAGTTGTCTCAGCATCACACTCGAGGGGGCAGATCTCTGCCCATCTGTGTGCTCCACAGAACCAAGGATAAAGCGGAATTATTGGGGCAAATCTCTGCTCATCTGTGTGCTCCACAGAACCAAGGATAAAGCGGAATTATTGGGGCAAATCTCTGCTCATCTGTGTGCTCCACAGAACCAAGGATAAAGCGGAATTATTGTGATTTACCCCGGCTGCCAAGACTGTTCTGCCAGCAGCATTCCCTCCTTCCCACTGAGCAGCACCTGCATAAACACATCCTGCATGCAGCAACCCCACCTGCCTGCTGGCTGCCTGTGCATTTGCTGTCAGCATCTCAGCTGGAAACAGCACAAGGGACTGTGCAGGCTCTCCCAGGACCAGCAAAGGGTGAGCACTCCCAGACTGGCTGAAGCTCATCCCATAATGAACTGCTGCAGACTCAGCTAGGAAGTGAGAAGAGGAATGGCTGAGAAGTGCTGAATTCTCTTTAAAGGGATTCTCTGGACCCAGCTGCAGCAGCCTCCTTTTATCCTGATAAGTTGATGCATTATTTACCTCAACTTCTGTTAATGGATTGAAAGTTTTCCAGAACTTAATCATCACATGGCAGCAGCCTGGAAAGGGTTTCCATCCAGGCAGTCCAAGAGAAACAACGAGGAGTTCTTGAACATGCAGTATTTAGGAACACCAGGGATATCAGGTGTGCCAGAAAATGATGGCTTGCTGGAGCCTTCCAAAGCCATCTGGCCCCATCCCACCATTGCCACGGCCGTCTCCAAGGAAACAGACAGGAATTACCCAAGCCTTGTAAATGGACCTGGATGTTTTTGTTCTCATCTTGCACCTGGCTCTCTGGTTGTGCCAGCTGACCAGAGGAGGACAAAGCAGCACAGTCCTCCAGGACTCATCCTTAGAGGAAAAGGTCTCGAAAATTTGACCTGTTTGGCAAAAGGAATTCTCAGCCATGCACTCCTGAATGAAAGGAGTGAATTAGGAACTGGTGTTTTCAAAGTGAAGGACAGATTGCCCAAATTGCCCAAGGAGGAGCCAAGGGAATGTAAGCTGCCTTGGCAGAAATCACTCTTGGTCTTGAGGCTCTGTTTTTCCCCAGATCACTGAGCTCTCACTTGTGTCCCTCGAGACAGCCTTTCAAGTGACCAGCTCATGTTTTCTCATGGCTTACTGCATTTTCCAAATTTACCAGCTGTACTTGAAGCATTCCTTAAGGATGTAAGCTAAGTGCTGAGACTCCAAGGAGCCTCTTCAGACTAAAATATCAAATAGAATTTAGAAAGGAAATGCTTACAATTAAAAAAAAATACATACCCAAAATCAAAATTGAATTTTCCTTACAGCGTAACTAGGACTGATATTTTTTCCTAGGAGGAAGCTTCCAAAACCTTTATTGTCCTCTTAATTTTCTTGCCTGAAATGGTGTTTCTTAAGAGATGCTTGTTTTCATCTGGGACAGAGACAAAACAGCATAAGAATTCAACCCTCTCTTATCAAGTTAAATACCAAACACTGAGTTCTCTAAAGGCCTTTGACTTTTTCTTCCCAAGAATAAACTCTGGGGCTCATGGGACTGGCAAACTTGACAGTAACTGGAGGTATAAATAACATTCAGAGAAAGGAACACTGGTATTTTCTCCATTCTGTGTGCTGGTTGCCAGCCATCACTGCAGGCTGGAAGGATGTTTGTTGTGACCGTGCACTGCAGCAACCCTGAAGAAGCATCCCTGCTTTCAGTCACCCAGAACACCTCAGAAGATCTGAGCAGGGCCCAGCAGGACTTTGTTACAGTGTCAGTCAGTGCTTTGGAAAGCTTTTGCTAATGCTGGGTTGTCAGAGAAGAAGCATTAGTAATTTGGGGCCATTATCCTCTTCTGCTGGGTTCTGGAACTTTAAATGTGGAAGATTTAGTAAATCATTTCCAATCCTTTCAGTTATCTAGGTAAAAAAAAATAAAAATAAAAATAACTCTTGTTGCAGTGCATAATGTCAAAGTTCTTGATTCCTGTTGTTGTCTCTTTTTTTGCAGTGCGTTTCCCAGGACTCAAAACTTACATTGATCCAGACACCTATGAAGACCCATCTCTTGCTGTCCACGAGTTTGCAAAGGAGATAGACCCTTCAAGAATCCGTATTGAAAGAGTCATTGGGGCAGGTAAAACTATACCCACTTTAAAAAGAAATTCCCAGGCATAGCAAGGCTGCTTTTCTTGAGTCACCAGGATAATGCAAGTGGTCAAGTACGGCACAAAATGTGGCTGTGTTTCTCTGACAGTCCTCTCTGAAGTGCAGAATATCTGAGGTGTTGTATCTGGCTAATGCTCCAAATATGTTGTACCAGGAGTTCTTTAAAGGGAGATTCTCCAGAGCAATGTTTTATCCTAAATGTTTTTTAAGGCTTTATAATTTTGTAGGGGAGGGTTGGGGTTTTGCCCTGTTTGTTAGAGGTTTGTTTCTTTTTTCCAGATGCACTCAGAACATTGTGTCTCTCAGCATTTGCCATAGTTACTGTCACGTGTTCTCAGTCACTGAGGGTGAAATTAGATCAGAATTACTTTCCGTGGGGAGACAAGTTCAGAATGTGGAAGACTGAGAAAAAATTATGCTCACATGAAAAACAGGAGGAGGATGAGGGGAGGGGAAAGGAGGGGCTGGCTTGGGACAGGCTTTCCTGTGTGGAGAAGGATCATCAGCACAGGGAAAAGAGGAAATTCGGATAGGGAGGTGGAGGCAGTATGAAAGGTGATGGGCACTTGAAAAGCAGGATGAATGGAAAAATAGCTTTGTGATCTCCTCCTGTATCCCCCTTTGTCCAACTGTGAGGTGGAGACAGAAAGGAGTTACATCTGAGCAATTGTTTTAGACTCTGTTCTCGTCTATGGAGTGCTTCCCTTGAGTTGAGAACACCTCACTGGGGATGTATCTGCCATTTCACAGCTGTTTGATAACATTTCAGGAGTTTCATTCGTCCTGCATGTACACTGCTCTTATTTCCTGGGGGAGATAACATGCCCCTTGTGTTTTCAGGGGTCCTACTTTGGCTGATGTGCAATGTCCACTCTGTGCATTGTTATCCTCTTGTCTGAGGCTTGGGTTAATTGTCAGGTTTTTCTGCTCAGGAAAGCGATGTGCTAATGTTCCCACACATTCACCTCTGGAACGGCTCTGTAGGGTTAAAGGCTCATGGCTGCTTTCCAGAGTTCAGTAGAGGTCCTTGTGGTGGTGTCACCAGCTCAATGGTGACAGAAATCAGTCCTCTGAGGTTAACTCAACAAAAGTGAAACACCTGTAGAAAACAGTCTTGTAAAACCATTTCTTGTGTTCAGATTATCTGGGGCAGAGAACAGTTCACTGCTGCCCAGAGCCTGAGGTTGCTTTTTCTGTTTAACCCAGTTCATGGTTTACTGAGGACTCAGAGAGGCATGGCCAGAAAAAGGCCTTGCAAACTGACCTGACTGGTGGATCTCAGTGCAGGGCTGGTGGCCAACATGCCATCCAGAGGGCCCACCAACATTTCTTACCGTTAGAACAAATGAAAACACAAAACAGACTGATGAGGAGAGTCTGGAGCTCCTGTGGTGTTTTACATCCTCTGTGTTGTTACCCTACAGTGGCTGAGGAGAATTAATCATCTCTCAGCCCCAACAGAAGGGGAAGGTGGGAGAGCTGAGAGTCTGTCAGAAATTTTGATGAATGTAGGAACAGAATCCAACTCTGAAATCTAATTTCTTCCTGCAAAGGAGATTAACACTCCCTGTCTTCATATTACACAATATGGCTATTTCTCTGTGTCCTTAAGATATTAAGAGTGACTAAATTTTGTAAATTGTTGTGTTAAAGGTGCTTACAATACTGGCTGCACAGATGTTCACCCCAGTGTAATTTTATTTCAGTAGCATTATTTAGTATGTTCCAGACTCCAGTGCCCATCTTTGAGCTGCTGGGCTTTCTTTAACAATACTGGTTTGTCACTTCCTAATTAATTTTACCTTATTTACTTTCTTAAACTTTAATGCCATGAAGAAAAAAAAAAATGAAATCATTCACAACACGACAGACTTGAAAATTGGGTTCCATCTTGTAAAAGGAGTTCAGTGTAAAGAAAGCCTCATTTTAATCTGCTCACAGTGAACCCACCAACGAACTCAGGCTAGCAAGCATTGCCAGGAAGATTATTATGGAAGATATAATGCCCTGTGATCCTTCTTTTTTATCTCTGTTTCATGTATCTTAATCACTCTAGAAAGGAGGGGAATTTTTCACTGCCCTCATTAAATGATATGTTACTACACTGGTAAGAGCAGAAATAGCTTCAGTGTTACTAAAAAGCGTTTCATGCACTAGAGAAGGGGATGTAAATAATATTACAGAAATGAAACCACGTCTGTTAACAGAAAGGGGAGAAAAGAATCGACCTGAAGGTGAGAGAGACAGTCGTGTTTCCCCGTGCAGTCCATGTCCCTGCAGCTCTCCAGCCCACCTGACTGCTTAAGCCAGACAGTGTGGAGTTCTGTGCACCTCTGCAATTCTGAGCTGGAGAGAGCCCCCACAGGGCTGACTTCTGCAGAAAACTTTCCATCTGATTTATTTGGTTTCTTCCTGTTGATGTCTTGGATTATAAAGCATCCTGGACTACATTAACGCTGGTGTAAGTACTGATTTCAAAGCAGTTGGATACAATAGACAAGGACTGGGTTTATTGATTTTAGTTCAGATTAAAATTGTGTCCTTACTCTCAACTTCATTAATTCATGAAAATTCTTTACTCAGCTTCTTTCTCCCTTTTCTTTTATGTGGGGGAGTGTATACTTTGACATTTTATTTTTATGGGTTTTTATTTTTCTAAAATTACTTGGGCAATTTGCCATCTTCAAAAAATATTCACCTGGTAGGACTCGCAGACTGCTTGAAATGAAATTTAAGCCTATTTATATGGGGCAAGATACAGGTTAAATACCATGGCTGAGGCACAGAGACTACAAATTCTTACCCAGTTCTTCAGTAGCTGCCAAGGGACACAACATATTGGTATAATTCACAACAGTCCTAAAACTTTCTCTCTGGATTCTCTCTAATTCAGTCTTAAACATTTCAAATGGATATAAAATGCATTTCTTGTCACAGGAGAATTACTTTAAAAAGATATTTGCAATTTTCACCTAAGCAAAACCAAAAATCAACATCATTTACAAAACGAAACATCAATATCTCTTAAGAAGATATTGATGCATTTCTTAAATTTGTTCTGGTTTAACATTTTATTTGGTCAATGATTTTCATTTTTAACTTCTGTAACTTTAGTTTTTGCAATGAAAATTATTTCCATTCAAGTTCATTTCAGTTTTTAAAACCAGACCTATTAGCCAAGTTACACAGACAGCTGGGTCTGATCCTTTGGTACCAAGTCCTAGTAACATAAAGGTGGTATTATATGATATAAAAAAAAGAGGAAAATGTCTAAAATTCTTGCTTACACACTGATTGCTCCAAATAATGATTCTTTTCCATCAGATGCTAAAAAAAAGGTTCAGAGAAGGTGGCAAAAAATGGTCAAATTGAAAAAGTAGCAAGAACTTCAAGCAGAAACAGCAGATTGGAAAGCAGCCTTTGGTAGCCACAAAGATCAAGGTGACACTTGGCCAGCAACAATCAAAGATTTCATAGCCAAAATAAAAAGGCAGTAGCCCTACATTTATTTGTAGATTTAATAACATTACTATTGCGAAGTTCATCTCATTAGGCGGGTAAGAATAAGACAGGCAAAGCAGGAACAGTTTGAGAAAGGACACTGAGTTTGTGAGGTGACTTCAAGATAAAAATGAATGAGTGCAATCTCTGTTCAAATCCTTTTCCAGGTCCCCCTGGCTGACTTTTACTGAGCTGATGTTTTTGAAGGCAGCCACAAAGTTCTGTGCAGACAGTTAATTGAGACTTTGATCTCAGCTCTCCCAGCCTCCCCCTCTGGCACGCTTCTGGTGTTCCAGCACCTCTGCAAACACTGAATTACTGTCCTATCTTCTGGTGCTTCGGGCACAATCAGGCCAAGTGAAATACTCAGTTTGCAAAGTCCTCTCTAAATCATTCAGGCTTCACTTACTCCAGGTGCAGACACAAAATGTCTGCATTAGAGTAACAATATCTGCCCATAAATACAGATTCAAGATGGATGTGCAGACAAGTTACTGCCCCTGAGCAGCTTCCCATCATCTTCCACCTTACATCTGGTCCATCTGAGCAAAAAAAATACTGTTTTGTAGCCCTTTTGATTGAATGAAAAATAATCCAAGTTAATAGCTGGTAATGGTCTTTTTGGTTATTCTTCTAATATCTTCTCCCTCTGTCTGGGTTCAAACAGGAGGGTAAAGGCAGTAGGGGAAACACTTTACAAACAAAAATGGAATTTGCAGATTGATAAAAAACTCATAATAACAAGCAGATTATGATCCAAAAAGCAAAACAGGACCTATTTGTGTTACCTGCTTAGCTTGTGACAGCATCAGCCAAATAAACCTGTGTTAATGAAGTTCACATTCCAGCAATAGTTACAATGGTTATTATTTCAGTGGTGCAATGGTCCCTTTTATTTTATCTGCTCTTTATGACGAAGTTTTAGTATTGTTTAACTTGCTATTGCATATTCTTGGATTCAAGACTCTTTTTTTAATCACTAATATTAAATATTCCATCAGATCTCTTATTGGTTTATCACAAAGGTCACTGTGTGCCTTTTTGCCAGTTGCCACAGTTTGCTATCTATTCATTACTGCAGGTTTTCTTCAGGTGGTCCCTCTCAGCAACTCTCATACTGAGCTTGCTGCACCTACTGACATTTTATCATGTTATTTCTTTCTGTCTTGCCCAGGACGCTCTGTCCTGCCCCTCACTCCTCGCTGTTTGGTTTAAGGCTTCGGTACCTCTTCCAGGAAGGAATTCCCAGAGGTCCTTTGTCAAGTCTGTCTGCACAGTTAAAATGAGCCTCTTATTTTCTTTGTCAAAAAGTTGAAACTCAAGGAAGAGACCAACTCCCCCATTTTTCATGGAGAGCAGACTATATTCTTTTCATATTCCAAACCTCCTGCTGGTTCTCCCACAGGTGTAGTGACCACACTGGGACCATGAGCCGAGCTGTGTTTGGTGCCGTGACCTTTCAGCTGTGTCAGCAGCAGCTGTCTGTGCTGCCAGACACTTGTTTTGATCCCAGGCAGTAACACCACACTGCACAGTACACTCTCAAGGGCTGACTATTCCGATTTCCCTTAAATAACACATGTGCTCTGACTGAATGAGACAAAGAAAGGTGTGTTTTGCACAGGGGAAGTTTCCAGGCTGCTCAATTCGCTTCTTTTTGTGTAACTCACTGTAAGATGTGTGAGGTTTATGTCATTAAACCAGGGATTATTTACATTTTATTAAAACTAAGCAGACATTGAACTCTATTTTTTTTCTCTAGTTATCATCAGCAAGGACTTCACTGACATCTGGCTCTCACTTATTACACATGCAGTCATGAACCTTTACTGCTGCAGGGTCAACATTTGTCTTGTTTATCATCAAACCTGAGCAGTGACACTTAGATTCTTGGATTTTAAAAATCCCTTTTGCTGAGCACATTCCCCCTTGACTGTAAAAACACTGAAAATTCTTTATCTGATGAAAAGCCTAGAAAAGTTACTGTGGGGTGAAATCTTGTCAAACTCTCAGTGTAAATAACACAATGCTTTAAATTATGTCATTGATCTCCATCTAGTCTAAAAGAGAATTAGAAGTTATCACACCCACTTCAGGTTTCTAAATGTGGGAACTGTGTGTTCTGGGAGCTGATGATCACTTACAGCGTGTTTGACATCATGTCACAGCAAACCTGCTGTTAGTCTTTGTGTTCACCACTTTGTCAATCCCAGTATCCAAGGGCAGTGAAATTCCTTTCCGACTTCACAAATCATGCAGCCAAAACAGGTAAAAGGAACAGGTCAGGGAGAAGACACAGCATTCCTTCCCCTGCTTTAGATGCTGCACAGATAATAAATCTTGGAATTGTAAGCCCTTCTCCTTCCTCCTTGGGTTTAATTTATTTAAAAACACTTGGTGAACAGCCTTTTACAGTCCCTGAGGGATGGAATTCCAAAGTTATAGTACTCTTGTATAGACCTTGTAGTACCAAAACCATTTATTCTATAACCCATGCTTTCCAAATTATCCTCAAAAATGAGATTTTGCAGTTCTGCAGATTTATTGATCACAGGATTTCTTTAAAAATCTGGATATTAAGGCTCTAGTATTTTTCCTTTTCGTTGTTTCATCAAGAGAAAGAAATTGGAATTATTTTCTCATTTTAGGCGTTTAATTTTGAAAAAACCAGTAAGATGCAATAAGGTCCAATTCAGCAGATTGTGATTCTGTGACATATATTTTCACATGTCTTATACTTGCACACATGCTTCAGGGAAGCATATGCTTTTATTTTTGAAAATTAAGGAGAAATAAAACAAGTTGAGGGGTGGGGAGAGGAGTGGGAATTTGTGGAAAGGAGACCTGGGGCACTTTATTTTTTTTATCTGTTTAGGAAGCTGCTAATTTATTCAGAGATTATGCTCAGCATCTGTTAATTGTACTCTGCACTTGTTGATACCTCTGTCTTTGAAGTGAAAAATAAGCTATGAAACTGTTCTTTTAATCCCTCCACTCTTCCTGGGTCTTACTGACTAATAAAATTTTGTTTTCTTTCAGTGGAAATGACAGAAACTAATAAAATAAAAGCTGTATGACAATATCCATTCTAATCCTGTAACATCAGGGAGTTATAACTTTCTCAAGTGAAGCTTCTGCCTTGAAGGTCTCTCTCTTCCAGATTCAGGTCATATCTGAAGGCAGACTGTTACGTGGTGGAACTCTCCTGTTTACTTTCCTTCTGTCCATAAAGTTTAAGGAAAAATAATTCAGACAGCACTTGAGGGAAGGAGTAACAATTTATTTCTGCCAGTTGGACATATATATATATATACACAGTTAAATTCAAGTAGGTGTGTAAGCCCATTTATATAAATCTTGTGTAAGTGCTTCTCTGGGACATCACAGCATAAAGGACTTCTGAAATACTTTCTGCAGTTGGAGGATGGTCAGGTATTCTGAAGGTCTCAGGGCTTTTCTTATCATATAGGACTCAGTGTATTTCACTCCTAGAGATAAATACTGCTACAAATAGATATTTTAGACAGATATTTTGTCAGCACTGGAATAAGAATCTGAAGTGTCATTACATTCTTAGTTCTGTATCACACACGTGTCGATATCAAAGTTCAGTCTCAGAACCTGAGAGTGATCCCAGTCCCCATGATCTCGTGGTGTGGCACAAAGGAAAGGTGATTGATTATCTGTTGTGAAGCACTGCTGGATATTTTGGTGTTTAGCCCTCTTCCAAGGGATATGTGGGTTTCTGGAATGTTTTTGTGCACGGGCAGTGTGAGTGACCTAACCAATATTTTATCTGTTTTAGGGGAGTTTGGAGAAGTGTGCAGTGGACGTCTGAAGACACCAGGAAAAAGAGAGATCCCCGTTGCAATCAAAACTCTCAAAGGTGGCTACGTGGACAGGCAGAGGAGAGATTTCCTGAGGGAGGCCAGCATCATGGGCCAATTTGATCACCCAAATATAATCCGCCTGGAAGGAGTTGTCACAAAAAGTAAGTCACTAAAATCTTTCGTTAAGACTGTTATGTATTAAACCACAGAGTGTATTTCCCATTCTAGATCATTTAGCATCAAAACTAAGCATTTATTCAGTATGGGTTACAGTTCTCAGAAACATTCCAAACCGTGAAGTGACAGTTGATACTGCAAAGTTTGGGACCATAAGAGGAAATATGCACAGCCTATTTGATTTCAATCAGAAATGTTTGATTTTTTAATAACCATCATCCTCATTTGGGTGATGTGTTTACAGGTTCTTCTGAAATAGACTGCAGAGGTTGCTTGTAGGCAAGTGGGAAAACCATAAACATAACTGAGTTGACAATGAAGTCAAATTGTCTTGAAAAATATCAGTTATACTCCTCTTTTTGCAGAAGTATTTATTGTTTATTTGGGGGAGGCTTGCTGATTTTGGTACCAGAAGAGATACATTTCCTATTTTTAAGAAATGAAATGTAAACACTTTGTAACCTATAGTACATTTTACTAAAATTTGAGAATAACCTACAAAATGTTTTACTCTACATAACTGTTGCAGCTGTCAAGAACATCCCTTACCTCTGAAATGGAGATTTTTAGTGGTGTTCTGGACTTTTCTGAAATGCTGAAATATCTAATGATCACTTAAGTAAAAAGGGATTAACATGCATGCAATTTCTTTAATGCCAACTCTTTTTCCAGTAATGAATTAAAAAACTGGAATTAAAAAAGATATTTTCTTCTCAAAATTAATTCATCTCAACTAAGCCATGTTGTTTGCCAATTTGCAGTATTTATATTTTTCTTTTAAAGAGAAGTGTTGTGTGTATAAAACAATAATGTCCTCTTACCTTGACAGTAAATACAAACAATATGTTATGAATATTTCCTATTTTCACCTTGATACAACATCAAAAGCTATGTTTGGAAAGCACAAAGTGCTAGGAATAAGAGGAAAGTATAGCTCCTGAACTCATTCTGTTGGGTTGGAATTTCAACAGGTTTATGGAATGACCCATCCCTGTTCAAATCTGTCTCCCTGAGCTTCTACATTAAGAAGAAGGGGATCTTTTTCTTTCTTCAAATGGTATTGTAAGGATAAATTTAGGTGTGTTTGGTTACTCGACTAACAAAATCCAGGGCCCTGCAGAAAAGATGCAGCTCAGTGTCTCCATTGCTCTGCTCTGCTGACAGCAAACAAGAGCACAACTCGAGCAGCACGGGGGGTCTTTGTCAAGAGGTGTAAATATGTAGGAACTTTATTGACTTTAGGTGCTTGCTTCATCCTGAATGGTAGTACAGCAGCAATTGATTCCACCAGTCTTCAGCAACAGCAGCATCACAGGCATGACCAGGATCCGTGGGGTGGGTCTACAGGGATGTTTCTCGTTCCTGAAAAATGCAAATGGCTGTGATTTATGAACCTTGTTTAAATCCAGTTAAAGGTACACACAGAACACAGTGTAATGTACTTTGTTATGGCACGATTGTGTAATCTTTGCCACATCTATAAATTTTCTTTCTGTAATGAGTCATCATCAGCCTAGAGAGAAATCAAGATTGCGTTCAGAAAGCAGAATCAAACAGATAAATCGGTGCTGTAACATTAGACTGTTTGTTAATGTTCTACAGGAAAGGTGATTACAGACACCTGTAAGCCAAAAAGTCGTCATTAGCAGCTCTGCTTTTCCTTCAACTGTCAACAAACCTTATTGTTTTGTAGTGTTTGCTTAAAGATAATATAAAAATAGTAGGAGTTAGTGTTGTAGTCACACCGTCCTAAAAACATAAGCATTTCTCAGATACAAAATAGGACTGAACGTTTGAAAGAAAATATTTTTGGGTCAAGCAGGTTTAAAACAAACAAACAGTTATAGAGCCACAATTATAGAATGAAAAAAGGCTACATGAATTATCAGCAAATTTCAGGGCATAGAAAGGCCAGGGTGTATAAAGTGGGGAGGACAAGGCTGTGCAGCTCTGCTGGGCTGCAGGAGGAAGCCAGAGGGAAGGCTGAGCAATGGTCACATCACTCTGCTCTGCTTCCCTCTCTCTGCTTTATCTTTAGGACTGTGCCTTGCATTTACACAGCCCCACCTGTGGTATTTAGAGCACAACATGACCTCAGTCTGGAGAAGAACAGTTGTCTTGCATTTCCCTGAATCCTAAGTGCAGAACTGCAGAATCCACCACAGGACAGAAATTTCCTGTAACTAAAACGTGCGTTGTAAACGTCAGACAGAACTTTCTCCTGGCAGAGTTATTTATTCAATGATGGTGTGATTAGAAGGTGTTCTGTGCTGAAACTAAGATTAATAACAGCAGAAACTATTTATCTGATGTGCATTACGGTTGCACTAACCTATAAAGGCACATCAGATGCAGTAAATTTGATTAATAGATGTGTAGTGCTGTTCTTAGCACATGCTTCCCTCTTTGTAACCATCAGTCACTAACTTGTAGCTGTTGCACCAGTCTGTAAGCAGCACCTTCCATTGCAGTGTCACTGACTACTGAACAAAACAGAAAAAGGATTTGGTTGTAATAAGCAGAAGTGCTCCACCAAGTCGATAGGTATTGACTGGGGTAATAACAAATTCTCCTGTTCATTACAAATGAGAGCTTTTATCTGGTGCTACCAGCTAAGCAGATGTTAACTTTTAAATTATACTGTTTTCAAAATTGCTGTGTAATATGTACTGTACAGGATGAAAAAAAAATGTTGAACTAAGCCTGCTCAAAAGTAGGTCTGAAACAGAGGTTTAATTCCCTTTTGTTATTGCTTCATTTCTCATTTGTGCTATCTGCAGTCCCCAGTCCCAGAGAGCAGGAGGCAGATCAGCTGCTGTGGCACAAGCTCTCTGTTAGCAGAGTTCATTTCAGGGGCAATTCTCTGGGCCAGGGCACATCCACCATAGCACAGAATCTGCATCTGATCGTTCACTTGTATTGCTGAGCAGAAGTCTCAGGGAAAACTCCAGTCCTGGCAGGTTTCTTTTAGCACCATCATTCCTTGCATGGTTTGCCATCAAAGGGCTGCTGGTTGCCTTGCAAATTTATTATTTATGTCTTATCTTAGGCACTTTATGAGAACATCCATAAATGTTAGCATTTATGGATTTAACACTGTGATCATTTTTGGACCTGTTCTTGGGTGTTCCATGGTGTGCTCTGATCAGCTTTATGCCCTTGGCCAAGCTGCTGCTACTTCAGTAACAAGTAAAAGGAAAATAACTTCCTTCTCCAGTACAAACATACATGACCATCACTGAAAGCTGGACTATCCAGATGTGTCTTCCACTTGTACATCATGTTGTAGCTTTTGTTGCAGATTTCCTTTAAAATAAGTTAAAGCAACCATCTGACAGCATAACTTTATCTACAGAAGACATGAAAAATGGTCTCTGACTATTGTAACTGTACTAGAGGAAATCCAGCCTGGAATCTATAGATACTTTGGCTTGATGGTGTCTTATACAGTAGTTTAAAGCACAGCCTGATCAGTGCTATGTAATAATGTCAGTATGAAATATCAGTGTATCAGAGGGCTTTCTTACATTCATAACCTGTTTGTTCCCCTTCCCCTCAAACTTTACCCTGAATAACTCTCAGTTGTTACAGATGATTTATGAGGAATTGTCTCTGTTTCCAAATTTTGACTACTGGAGGATTTGTAATCTTTTTAAGGCATTCATTTTCTTTAACACCCGTATGTATATTGATATTCTCCAGGAGAATTTTCAGAAAAGTCCCTTCATAAAAGGAGGCAAAATGAAGACAGCATCCAGGCTTTTGGTTCTCTGTAAACTCACATCCTCAAACACTGAGCCTGGGTTTGGAATGACACTTCCAACTCCCTCATTGTCTCCTCATTGTTTCGATTTAGCGGCTTTCAAATTGTGAGTGCGATTCCAGTTCTGAAATCTTTAGTCATTCATCTAGCAGGTTGAATTCAAAGCTTTAATCATTCCGTTTCTTTTTAAATTACTGTATATAACCCATTCAGTACAACAAAAGCTCTAAAATCAGTGCACCCTCCCTTGTCCACGAGGAAGGCAAAGCAGCAGCACGATGAGAGCTGCAATTTCCTGTGTGTAGCTCTTCATATCTGACCCATTTTTCATTTTTCAAAAATGGAGGACATAATGAATTCCTTTTTTTTTCAGCCAAGACATTGTGCTCTAGGCCTTTGAGCCCTTAGTGTAATGAATCTAATGCTGCCCTTTTCTCCAGCCTGTTAACAGGTTGCAACTATTAAATAATGGAGTGCAGAATTCATTTGAGAAGGTGAAACGTTTTCCAGCACATGTGTTTATTATACACATAATTTGGGTTTTGTACAAAAGGACTGAGGAAAATGTGTGGCACTATTTGAAATATCCTTACCTGGGTCAGGGGTGTTGAAGTTGTACTCCCAGGAATGTGATTCTGCAAAGTTTAAATGCTGACCTTTTAAAAGCCAAGTTGTGACTATTTGAAGTAGGATAGACCATGATAGCTTACAAAATGTGATTATGATTATACACAAAAAGATGGCCCCTACATTACAGTGTTTATCATGCAATTCTGAAAAGTAAAACCTTTAGGGCCAGCAGAGAACATAGGATGTTAATAAATTCCATGTTAGCATTATAGAACTGTTTATAACCTACAGTGTAACCTCTTTCAAATCTTGCCATTTCCATCTGTCAGTAATCTCAGTACACCACTGAAACACCCAGAGCATCTCCAGGCACAGATGTGCTTGCTGGAGGCCAAAATTACTTCATATCCACTCCTTGAACCCCACATCAGGCACTTGCACCTGCCTTACGAAACACAGGAGGGTGTGAAGATATTATTCATCCACCAATATCTTCCATTCTGCTTGTGGACAATCCACTGTGACCCAAAACCAGGGTGGGACTATGTGTGTCACATTAGCCAGTGGGCTTTACATAAAGCTGAATTTGTCTGATGAACCAGCAGGATTTCAGCTGCATCATAAATTTTTCAGTAAGTGGAGCTGTGAATT